AAACCATTCTGTGATTCTGTGAACTTCTCCCATCATCAGAAGCTGGAGAAATCATGGCTTAGTTCTCCAGAAAAACCCAATCAGTCTAGAAACCAGCTATTTCTCCCCTAAACATCCATTCAAAACAAGACAGTGTTGTGCAGGGAGCAGGCAGGTTGTTCTTCATGCTCCCCAGCCTGTGAAGGTTCAGATGGACAGCGCACTGAGGAACGTGGTCCTTCACTTGCAGCCATGCTTAGCTGTGACCTGGTGCACGCTGTGAATTGCACTTGTAGTAAATAAGTTTCTTCCAAAAAGCATCATCCATAGAAGTATGGACAGATTACTCCAAGTTCACAGTTAGCTTCAGGCTTGCTTCAAACATCTCCCTGATGGTTCTTTGCTGCATAGTCCTCAGCCAGCTGGGACTGTTTGCACTTCCTGCTTTGCTGAAGTGAAGATGTTGGAATGCAAATGCTTCAGCACTGAAAACACAAGACTAACAGGGTCAGTTCCAGCAGTACTTCCTCGGCAAGGTTCACTCTAGCAGACCCCATGCCTTGGAGATGACCTTATTGCGGTGAGGCATGGAACTGCCCTCCGCTGTCACTCCTGGCAAAGATCTACCCATCACCATCCAGAGGCAAGTCCTCCAGGATAAAGCTATAGAGTTACTCCTGTTTTCAGGTAGTTATTTCAGTCCTTCAAGCCAACCAATTAAGCTGGTTGACCTGGTGAACACTATTAGCAGTGAAGGTTTCTTCAGCAGCAATGAAGGAAGCTGTCTCATCAACTCTACTGTCATCAAAATGCTACAGCAGCTCTGAAAACCCTGCATCTGGTTGGGAAAGGCCCCCACCCCCCGAAGCAGAAGTCACCACAGATGACCTAATTCGGCCACCTACCCATGGCATGATTCACCACAGCATGACTGTTTCCATCAACTGTGACACCAACCAAAGGAAACGAGATCAGAAAAAACACCTAAAGCCCTAACTCACAACCACCAAAATGTAAACTTAAAAAGATAAGCCTCCTAAAGAAGGAGTAATGAGGAAAAATATCACATAGACATACAGGGAAGTTTTCTGCATGTTGGAGAGGAGGGAGGGAGCCATGGGAGGGGCAGGAGTGGAGGAAAAAAAAAATCAAGCAAGATCAGTCACCATCTCTGTAGTAAGTACTCTTCAGATGAGCCCAATTCAGATATGACCACTGCCAAGCTGGAATGGCCACACCTCACACCAGGCATGCACAGCAAAGACGCCATCGCTCATCTCCATGCTCCAGAACTCAGCGATCTGCATTGGCAGAAAGCCAGGTGCGTTTCGGTGGCTCAAAATCTGACCAATTCCACCTGCAAATCCTGTCGCCTTCAAGGTCAGGTTTCCCACAGCAGAGAACAAGAAGGTGCAGAGACAAATACCCCCTTCAGTAATTCATTTTTACTGAGCAAGTCTTTCTGCCATGAGGACAAAAACTAGACCTTGGTCCTTCTGCTTCACAGGAACTTCTCCACTGCTACTTTGTCAGCCAGAAGCAGCTGTCTCGGGTTCAACTGCCCTTGCCATTTCTTGCTCAAACATTTATCTACCTCAACTCCTTAGCAGGCACAAGCCCAATTCCTTCCAACCAAAGACCAGAACATGCAGCTGCTTTGCAACATAAGGGGTCCCAAAGAGGCCTCAATCCTCCTGACTCCTTTGACGGCTGACCAGGGCCACCTGCATGGTTGAAGGTCTCTCCTCCTAGGGTGGATGCCACTCTGGCTGCATGCACGTTCATGACCACGGAGCATCCAAAGTCATCTTCCGCACCACGATGTTAGAGGTGACACTGGACAGCAAAAGATATTCAACGGCTGCTGATGGGCCTGTCTTCTGCTGTGCTAGTTGGTTCCCAGGACTCACAATGAAGCTCAGGTGACACAAAGTGCTCCAAGGTAGAGATGTTTTAGGTAACCCAAGACCAGCCCATTTAGGGCTTGAAGGCAATGACTATGCCTTAAAAGATGAGGCAAGAACCAGCTCCACATTCACGTGGCCACCTGCACTGGGCTACAACACTGCAGAGATGGATGCCATAAATCCTTTTAAGTGTAGGAAGGAACTCAGTTTTAAAAATGATGGATGCCAGGAGGCTGCAGAACAGCAGTCACCTTCCCCGAAGTAACAAGCAGTGCATTGGCCACCTCCCTCTTGTAAAGAGTTTGTAACTGCCTTTCATTCTGGTCATCCTTGCAAATCATCAGGTTTACTGAAGAGCTAAAATGTCAACTAACATCAGCGGCTCCAGGAGCTGGATGCAGGTGGGATAGTCACTCTGTAGCTCGAATGGAATCCATCATACAGCATTAGTAGAAAGACTTGCTAAAGCCTTGGAATGCAAGCTGTGAACTTTCACCTAGATGCTGATGAACTTATGCTGAATTTTTGCTTAGTTACATGAAGGACAGCCCCAAAATTGGTGTAAACCAGAAAGATAAGGTAGCCACATCCATCAGTAGAAGCCACATCCTTGAGACAAGAAAAGGAACATCCCACTGGAGACAGAGAAAGGATCCAATGAAGAACAAGAAGACCCCAGACCCAAATATCACACATGCTTACATGATCCAAATATTGAACTGAACCATTGTGTGAGGGGAGAGGAACTTAGATCATAAGGGTGTAATTGCCCAGAGATTTTTTTGCTCAGGGTCGCTCTGCAGAGGCACCCAGCTTGAGCTGTTCTTCATCGCTGTACCACTCAATAAATCCATCTGACATACGTTGTGTCAGAGACTCTGCTTTGGGAAACCCAGGGTCGAGCCTGAAGGAAGAGCAAGTGCCCGAGAGCGTGTGGGGGTACTTGAGAGGAGCACCCGTCAGCTCACTGGAGTCATCCGCAGCAAAGGGACTCCAATCCAAGCAGTTAAAAGTCTTGAGTGGTGTATGTGCAATTCCTCGAATGGTGCGCAGATGCTCAGGCAGCTTCTTGGATCAGTCCGACAGTCCTTGCAGAGTTTGTATTTACTGTAGAAACAGAAGGTGGTGCCATCCTGCTGCTGGCGTGCACTTCTCTGTCCTGCAGGTCACCAGCAGCATTGGAAGATGCTGCCAGGAGCAGATTTTGGCCTCCTCCTGGTGAACATGGGTCGCCTGCTGCTTCTGCACTAGGTCCACAGATGCTTTCAAGGTGAAGGACTTTGGGCATGCCAGATTGCTGCTGGAGTTCTCTTGCAGCCAGGTTTCCAAAGCAGACAGATGGATGCCAACTGTAATAACAGATTGCTCTAGAGACCTTACATTTTTATATCAGAAATAATTATTTCTTTTAAAACCAAAAATAGTACCTACAGTGATTAAAAACCCACTCCACCACCCCCACCCAAACCCCAACCATACCACAGATAATTGACTAATACAGACTTGTGAAATGTCACGAGACATTTCAATGGAAGTGTAAATTTTTACATGTGGTACATGACAGAAACATCATCTACCCTCCACTTCTAGAGGAATTAGCCAAGAAGAGGAGTTCTGGTGAAGAAAGTTGTACACCTTCCCTAATTCAGTGACACATTTTGCAATATTACCTTTGAAATGCACTAAAAGTCCCATTTAATTCATAAGAACTTGCCTGGGGTAGAGTTAATTTTCTTCACAGTAGCTGTTTTGGGGCTGTTTTGGATTTGTGATGAAAACAGTGTTGATAACACAGATGTTTTCGTTGCTGCTGAGCAGTGCTTACACAGCATCAAGGCTTTTTCTGCTCCGAAAAAAGCGAGCAGGCTGGGGGTGCACAAGAAGGTGGGAGGGGACACAGCCGGGACAGCTGACCCCAGCTGCCCAAAGGAATATTCCACACAATACAGTGTCATGCTCAGTGTATAAAGCTGGGTGAAGAAGGAAGGGAAGGATGTTCAGAGTGACAGCATTTGCCTTCCCAAGTAACTGCTACAGGTGGTGGAGTCCTGCTGTCCTGGAGATGGCTGAACACCTGCCTGCAATGGGAAGGAGTGAATTAATTCCTTATTTGCTTTGCTTGTATGCACGGCTTTTGCTTTACCGATTGAAGTGTCTTTATCTCAACCCACGAGTTTTCTCACTGTTACTTTTCCAATTCTCTCCCCCATTCCACTGGGGAGGAGTGAGCAAGCAGCTGTCTGGGGCTTATTTCCAGCTGGGGTTAAACCACAACAGAACTACACATCACCTTACAATGGGCTGCGTTCTGCTGTATCACCCTAAACTGGGGATGCAAGCACAAACTGTAAACTTAAAAACCCTATCTGAAAATCCCTAAACCTCTGTCTCTACAAGACAGGCGAATCAAACTTCTAACACTAACGTGTGATTGCATTAATTTGCATATATTCTTCGACTGCCATTTATCTAGCATGTTGGAAAGATTTGTATTTATCACTAAAACTATTTATGCAGATACATGAACATCAAGTGGATTTGAACAATACTGTAGCATCATGTCCTGTCAAAACCAGACACCTCTTGCACTTACCTAACAGCTGCAACAAACGGCTTGTAAGCCATTCACTGACAGATAATTTTGTTCAAAATAACTGCACTAACAAACACATTCAAGATACAGCTCTTTTCTTGGAGGTAAGTTCACAAGCACCATTTGCAGGGCAAAGTGCTGAGTACAGTTTGTCCAGCTCAGCTGGCCTCTGGCTCTCCCCTTTTGCCATTTTTTGGTTCCCAACAGGTAATCCCTGACGGGATCTCGGTTTGTTCTGTCATCCTGGCCACTTTTCCTTTTGATACGTTTTCTTCAGAGTGGTCACGTTTTACCTTCAGTTCCATTGGGTCATCTGCATCATCTACGGCACAAAAGAAAGAAGAATTCAAGTTTGCAACTCCTTCTCTGACCTCAGTGCGACGGCCCGCAACAACAGGAGCAGGTGAAGTTACAAAGCATGCCAGAAAACCCTTCTATTTACAGGCAACAAGAACAATGCTGGGAGTAGGGGACTCTGGTTCTCAGACTCTGGCTTTCCGTAGCTCCAGCAGCAATCACAGCGTTTATTCCTCTATACCACAGGATTTGTGGGAGAACTGTCAGCATACATTGGTTATATCTGGAAGGGACCAATGTGCAACCTCCTGGATACATCGATACGCACAGGATTGGGAACATTTAATTCCATCTGACCACAGCAATTGGGGCAGGAATACTTAAGAATCCCCTCAGCTTCTGCATGTTGGATTTCTGTAATATCTACAGAGGCTGCTACAGCACACTGTTAAATACAAAAGTGTTGCTCCACTTTCCTTCCTGCAGAGGATTCCTCTGAGACTACGAGCTCATCACATGCCCTAGGATTTCAATTTTAAAAGCACAGATGCCATACAAGTGAAACATCTGTGTGACTGGAAATACCTAATTAATTCAGACTCCTGCAAAGCGAATGTTCCAGCCTTACCTGATAACTGCCCTTTTGTTACGCATCTGCTTAACCTATTTAGAAAACAAGGTCCAAAGGTAAACTTCTTACAGCAACTGAGCCCTCAAGGGCTCTTCACTCAATAGTGGTCAGAGCAGGGGGCAGATCACGGCAAAAAGGAGAAACAACAACACTCTGGCTCACAGGAGGCATGGGCTGGGCTGCAGAGATTTCTGAACTCAATACACCTGGGGGCTGGGTCTGTCTATGCAAGGGAGAGAGGTTCTGCTTTTGGGAAGGTGTTCCTCCAGCAGGCATGAGCAAGCTCCCATCCTGCAAAGGCTGCCAGATGGGAAGGGACACTCCTCAACCTCTGGTTTTCCCTCTTGGGACACTATTTTATCACTAACTAGAAGAGCAGCACACAGTGCTGGTATCTAAGAGGAAGGGTGTCCTGGAAATCAACACAAACCAAGCCCAAAGCTGGTGACAGCCTCTGTGTCACAGCACACCGAGCATCCGGCACTGCAGCACCTCTTACCTCTCGTGAGCTGGGCTGTTCTGTTCTGTTCCTCCCTGACCTGCTTCATCAGCTGCAGGTTGTGATCACTGGCTTCCTTGTGGTTCACCATTGGGAAGGGGTAATCTTGACCTGGTGCAACACGGAGACAGCGACCTTACAGACCTCATCCAGGATGTTTCACTGGACTTGCACCAGGGCAAATGCTTGCAGCTTCTCCTAAAATGAGTGGCATCTAAGATGCATGATGTGACCCATTCTTCAGAAGTGCCTGTTTCTCTCCATCAAAGAGCAAGAGCTCCCATAGACTTATAAAAGACATCAAAAAGCATTAAGGCACAAGATGTCCAGATACTATTTAAAGATAGCCAAGCATCGAGACAGATAAATGCAAAGGCAACAACCGAGAGTGGTCCAATAGTTTTAGGACATGAAGGTGAGGCAAAAATATGTACTCGGAGATTAGACTTCAACAAAAAAAATTTAAAGGAAGATTGACGGAAGGTAGACTGCTGGATTAATCCATTTTCAAAAGATAAAAGCATGACTTAGGTTGGAACTGTGATCCTTCTAGCTCACACATGTCATTATTTTGGATAGTTAGCAGCAGCAAAATCCTTAGCTAGCTATCTGAATGAATTACCTATGATACACCCTGCTTGCTTCTGCTCCTCTTCAGAGGCTGTCCAGGGCTCGTAGATGTACTTGGAGGAAAAGTTCTTTAGTACAGGCAAGTATTTCCTACAAAACAAGAATAATATGGGGTTTTATAACCCTGCAGATAAATACTCATTCATTTAAGGGAGATGTAAACCAGCCTATGCCACATCAGTTCTTGGTGATTGCATTGATACTACAATCCATGGGAAAGTTCTGATTCATTTTGCACAAAAAAAACCCTGGGTTTATGTTCTGTGTCGTGGGTCGTATCTTCCAAAAGTTAACTTTACAGCATAGGATAAATGGGTTGATTTAAACACTACTTCAGTTTTGACTTCATCCCAAATATTTTTAACATTTTCATTGACATTTCATCCTAAATTTTAATAAATTTCAAAACCAAACAGATTTTTTTAAATCTAAAAAATTCTTACAGAACAGAAAAGTAATTTTCTGCCCCACTCTGTCAGGTATGTCAGCATGGGCTTCCCTGGACAAAACCCAAAGGTAGATCGGATACGAGGAAGAAGAGAGGTGGGGACATGAAATTGTTTGCTCAGACATCACCACAGCCTGCTCCTCTTGCAGCCAGCTGCAAAATCACCCCCTACTTACGAGAAAGTCCTTATCAAGAACTAAGGAAACTGAGACTCAAGCAAAGAGGACTCACTCAGAGTGAGAAATAAAACTTAAATGTCTGAAATGAATCAGACCACCTACAAAACCGAGAAATACAGCACAGACTGGAGCAGGGGGAGCTGGGGGAAGTTTTACTCAAGTCTTTTAGAAAGAGGAGTCAGCCTGGTGATCAAACGTGGGGATAGAGCCAACAAGTGCTCACAAATCAGTCCAGTCCCCTCTCAGACATCCCTGTGCAACCATGGGTACATCTCTCTGCTTCTGTGCCTCAGTTTCCTTATGTGTTCAATACAATCATTGCTATGACCCATTTCACAGGGATTTGTGTTTCAAACAGACTGAGTTCATCAGCTCCGGCTGTAAAAGGAGCCAGGGAAGCACTGATGTGCTGTTCATGGCCATACCGAATGTACTGCCCCTCCGGGTCCGTGCGCTTCCCAAAGCGGACGGGGCAGAAGATCCGCGTGTACTGGTGGAAGAACGCGCTGGCCGACAGCCACATCCAGTTCCCCGCGTTGATGCTGTAGTCAGCGTCTAAAAGCAGCTCTTCAAACACCTGCGCTTCAGGGATGGGAAAAGAAAGAGAAACGCCCCTGAAATAGCTGCTTTTGTGGCAAAAAAAACCCAAACAGGGCTGGGAGATGAAGGGTGAAGCCTAGCACTGTGCTGGTCTGGGCTACACATCTCCCAGGGCACACTAGAAGCCTCTCCAGCACAGCAGTGTGCCAGAGGAGGATGCGGTGACAGAGCCAAGCGAAGCCCAAAGGTCTGGTTTTGTGGCCTGCTGCAGAATGAGGTCGTCTCCAAAATCCTCACCATCCAAAAATCATCAGGCCCTGGGGATGGGAAGGACCTCTCACCACTGCACCAAGCGCAGCAGGGTTCAGACTCAAGCGAGAGACCGTGAGATTTCACAAACCAAGAGAGTTCTAGCGAGGCTCGGTAACAAAGCCCTGCTCTCCAGGACCCCCCTCCCACGTTTTGCAGGGGTTTCTCAAGGTCAGCCAGAACAGAAAAAACAAAAAAACTCAGAAGGGAACCTTCATGCCTTCTTCCCAGCTGATCCAAAGGTCCCCCCGTGTCAGGAAGCAGGCAACAGCGTGCCGGGCGAGGTGATGGATCCAACCTTCCTGGTGCAGCTGGGTCATAATCGCGTCAATCCACGGGAACCCCGTCTGTGCCTGCGGTGGAAAAGAAACATCAGCCATCCCACACAAAGCTTCATTACCCTTCTTTGCACACTGCTGTAAGCCCCACCTCAAACAGCCAGCAGGGACCAGTCCCAGGGCAACAGAAAAAACTCTAAACTGAAACGTAGCCCTTGTGGGAACACATCCTCGTTACCGTTTTCCATTTGTGGAGTCGCTCCGCATCCTCGTACCAACTGATCTGAAGGCAGATGGGGTTTCCAGCCATTTGGGTGAAGTTTGGTGTTGCTGATGCCACCGTATAGAAGAATTCCCTCCATAGAAGCTGCCCTTGGAGTGACACCGGGGGCAGAGAATGATGCTTGGCCTGCAAATATACGTGAGATCAAAGCCTCAGCTCCTATCTACCATCGCAGATTCACTGATGTTGTGACTGTCAGGTCCATAAAATAAAGATTAACCTAACTACCCTGCTGGCTTCCTGGCCCTTTACCATGAAAGCCAAAGAAATCAAAGATCTGAAGCAATGTTCTATGCCCAAAAGCAAAGCTCAACTCCGTTAGATCTCAATGTTACCGCAAACATTCTCCATATCTACCTTCCAAAATGGTGTCGCACTGGGATTTCTTAAACCAAATGCGAGTTTATTAACGTATTAACTGCTCAGCTAGCTGAATTCACTCTTAAGAAGGAGGTTCAGGGAGAACTTGGTTTCCTTGGGTTGGTTTCAACCATGCTTTTTCTTAAGTATCAAACAAGCTTTCAAAAGCTGGTTTTGGCTTATGCTGTAGTTAGAACTTGTCCAAGATGAAAACAGATTTTTTTTTTCCAATAACAAAACTGCTTGAACAGGGTAAACTGATCAAAAACTTCACTTAAACACCAGGCGAGAACTCCTGGAATTTCAGGAGGGTGTTCCTGGGCTTCCCTGCTGCTTCCAGGTCTCATTGCTCCCTACTTAACAGATTTCAAAAACTTAATTGGGAAAAGCTGAATACATTTACAGGTGTTTCACACAACACATAAAGCCACTTCACCAACTTCACTGTGAGAAGACATTAGCAAAGTAGCATTTTTTGATGCACCAGGTCTCTATCAGGATGATCCGAGTGTTAAATCCTAGCCTCACATGGCAGACACGCGAGAGCGCTGGATTTTCTTGACGATGACCAAGTATTTTCTTACCTGAGCGTAGATGTTTGACAATCTATAAAAAAAGGTGCGAACTGACAGACAGCCCACACTGAAATACGGGCTCAGGCCTGTGGTGCTTGGAAGCAGCGAATTTGGGATTGTTCTTGGCTTAGTAAAGCTTGCCACCCAGCCCTAAAAGGAAAACAGAAATCCAGGTTCAGGCAGTACAAGGTGACACAAGTCCAGCTAACAAAACAGGGAAAAAAAACCTCTTGCAATTGGCTTCTGGATCACAGAGGTCTGTTCAATGCCATGCATGGAAAATACTCCCACTGCCCATCCTCCCAAAAACACCGCCATCAAGGACAACATCGAGACCAGGCTGCTACCCTCCCCCAAAATCTCCAAACACACAGATGTCCTCCAAGGCCAAGGTCAAGGCCATGTCCCACCCATAGGTGCTGTGCAGTTCTGCTCTCCCCAGAGAGTGGTTCTGAACACAGGGAATGGCTCTCTCCATCCAACAGCACCGCACTGAAGATCTTTTCCACTTTATGAAACCGGAAGCAGATAAAGTGTCTGCTCAAAAGCAGCCAGCACCAAGACAGGCTTGGCTGCCAAGAGCTGAGCCCCGGCGAGGAAAAACTCAGAGCTGGAGCAGGACTCCATGGCTGAGCAGCTTCTCAAGGTCCAGACATAACCCCACGGAAAAGGAGCGAGGTGGACACCAACTCACCCCACCCAGAGCCACCAACATCACCCCTGTCACACCAAGGCTGACCTGGTCAGTCAAGTGTTGCTCCAGCCGCTGCAGCCCTTCGGTCTCCCCTCCTCTCCAGGGAGAGAGGCTCTCCAGGGGGATCTTCAAATCCTCAGGGAGAGGCACCCTGTAGCACTCATATAGGGCCGGGTCAGGGGGCCGGCATCTCCTAATGTGAGAGAGAGGCTTCTTTCAGACACAGAACCGGAGCCAGAGGAGGGAGGAAGACCCCGGCACATCGCACATGCCAAGATCTGCTCTGTTCCAGCACAGCCAGAAACCCCAGGCTGCACTCTCCTTGGGGAAGACAGAGCTCCTCCTGCAATCACTCCTGGTAATTCTGCCCTGAACTGGGCAAAGAGGAATGGACCCACCAAATTACAACGCTCAGAGCAGTGGGCTGCAGCCCTCCCAGCTCAGACATCCCTCTCGGTTCCCATCATAAGGCTCGGAGGCACCTCCCCTCCTCTCCAGCTTCCCCCAGCTGCCTCAGCCATCCCTTGGAGGGAGCAAAGAGCCTCCTCAGACTCTAAACATAATTACGGGGCACTGGTGCTGCCTCCAAAGGCTGCTCCAGCCCCCGTGCCTCTGGGGAGAGGTTGCTTTGGGAGAGGTTTCATGGGGAAGGAGGCAGAGCAGCTCCCTGGGCTGCGTCCCCAGCTGCTCCCTCCTAACCAAGGTGGGGGGGTCCCCAGACCCACAGCCCACCCACGTCTCTTCTGCAGCCTCAGCTGCTGAGGCTTCCCCGCAGCCTCTGCCCTCTGGGAGGCTGGAAGAGCTCTAGGGAATGGCTTTTCCCCCTGTAAAACACAGAAGAGGAGATTGAGGGAAGCATCAGTGGTATGCAGACTTCTCAAAAACCAGGAATGAATTCAGAGATCAAGAGAGACCTTTCTACTTACCTGGAAAACCCTGAGCTCGGCTCTGTCAGACACCTACAAAAGGGGCCAGAGCAGCTCTCAGAGCAGTGACAGAACACAGGTCTGCTGGGAAGCACATGAACCACTTATCTCTCATCACCATTCATTTTAAAAGTGCAAATCAACAAATTAGGGGAAAAAAGGGAAAAAAAATGTGCAAGAAAAAAATATAGGAATTGATTTATCCTAATACTTACATGGGTCTTATCAAGGGACTATCTGACGATAACATCCAGGAATTAACAGAATTCTCCCCAGATGGGAAGACATAAGCCTGGGTTACCGACACAGAGCTAAGATCATGCAGGACGCGTCTGACACTGAAGTCCCAAGTGTCTGCAGTCCCATCCCCAGTGGCCAGCTCTCTCCTGCCCCAGTGTCACCTCCCTTTGGACCGCTGCCCTCTCCTCATGCAGAGCTAAACATAAGGCATCCGTGACTCTGAGCTTCTCCTCGAGTCCTGGGAGACATGAGCTCAGTCCCTCCTTCCCACGCAGCAGAGGGGAAGAGAGACAAGATTTAAAGCCAGAAGGGAACAGTATGATTATTCCAAACTTCCTGCATAAAACAAACTACAGTGGCTCATCCAGTTCCTGCCTTGAATCTTGATTTGTGAGGAAGCTGGAGCACGTCTTGGAGAAAGCGGACGGCATGCCTCTGTTAAACCTTTACAAACCTGTCTCAATGAGCCTTGCAAAAGCTGAAGTCTTCGGACTGTGCCCCTTCACATCTCACATCCCTTCTCTACATACAATCGAGAACCCTCCGTGCATAGAAGCAACGCAACATAACATCTCGAACACCTCGTTACCATCTGGCCCTGGGTCTCCTTTTGGGCAGACAAAAGGCTCTGCAATTTCCTGCTGTCTCGGGGTTACTCACTGGAAGTCTTCAGCTGTTGGGGTTCGGACAGGCACCTCGGGGTCACCCAGCAGAGAGAGAATGTGAAGGAACCTCTTGTATGTTAATGGGGGAGCCCCACCGTTCAGGTCCAAAATCCTAAAGGAAAGAAAATCACTTTTCACCATGACATACACCAAGAAGGAAGCCAGAGCTGCCCGTGGACAGGAAGGTGACAGCACAGGCTGGAACAGCCCCAGTTCATCCAACCAAAAGTGGAAATTCCAGATTTTACAATTGAAACTTCCCTGGGTGAACATCCATCCATCCTGAGAGCAGTTTCTCAGGCCTTGGGACAACAAAATTGGGACTGGGGCGCCAGCCATGGCTTCAGCTGGGCAGCTGTGTACAGCCAGTCACGGCCAGGATGGCAGAGGGCAAGGTGCAGGACACCTCTGGGGCTGCCAGAGGCAACATATCAAAAAAAACCCCAAAAAAACAAAAAACAGTTCAGGGCAGTAAATAACGCTTCTGTGTGAGCACCCACCTGTGCAGACAGACAGCTTGAATTCAAGGTGGCAGGTCAGACACATCCCTTCATTTACACAAATTAGGGGCTTTCCAGAACTGGAGTGTTAAGACTATTTTAGCTATAACCTCCCTATTATTAATTTCAATATCTTCAGTCATTCAGCTCTGTGTAATAGCTTGGACCCAAGTGTATCCAGGCACCAGTGAAAGATTAGAAAGATTTTTTTAAATCTGACACAAAAAAATATACAAAAATCCTATCAAATGTGTTAAAGAATTTATTTTACTGTTTAAAGAAGTAGCTAGTGTAAGTTTTGAAGCAAATTAAACCACCCAAAAAGAAAAAATTAACAAACTCTTTAGCTCAAATCACAGTCCAACATCCTAACACCTGTGCAACGCACCAAAATCTCTTCTCTTACTTCCAGCAGCCCAAAAAAGAAAATCTCCACGAAACGGTACTATGCTCATCTCAAATAGTCTGATTTATAAAAAAAAAAAAACAACAAAAAAAACCAACACATTAGGTTCCAGAAGGACCAAGATACTTCGCCTGTTCTCCCTGATGCTTGCTAAATCTGAAATAAACCTTCCTGGAGCCACCTCAGGGCGATCACGTACCGTTTGGTGTCGTACAGAGTGTGGCCCACCAGGGAAAGCACCCCAAAGCCCAGCTCTTCTCCCAACCGCCGCACCCTGGCCTCCATTTCCTTGTAAAACGGTTCCATCTCCGCATCCAGCGTCACTTGTGTGATATTCCACTTCGGGACGTGATCTCTCAGAACAGCCTCGTGCTCTCCCTGAATTACCAGCAAGCAGGAGCCCAGCTGAAACAAGTTCTTCTGGAGATCCTCCAGGGACTGCAGCAGAAAATGCCACCGCAGGGTCCCCATGTGCATCACGGACGTCTGGAACGTTCTGTCCAGGATGTAGACGGGGTAGACGACCTCCGAGGACTCCAGTGCGGCCAGCAGCGTTGGGTTGTCATGAATCCGAAGTCCCTTCCGGAAAAGATGAATGGTGCGATGCGGCATCCTTCCTCAGATCTGCGGAAAGAGGACGGGAAGAGTTGGCTTTGGGGATACACAATCCCTAGTAGGGAACAAAGTCAATTAACAATTAGAAACGGAGCTCGGAACAGCCCTCAGCTCTTTTTACTGCAAATCTGCTAAGTTTTTCTGAGAGAGAAAAAGCAGAAACAGGTCGCTCTTCTCAGTCACACGTACCTGCCAGGTCCCACCGTTGAGCAGCTCTATCACCACCTCGCTCCAGAGAATGGTTTCTTCCCCAATTAAATCCCTTCAATTAAATCCATAAACCAAATTACTTCCCCATAGCACCCACCAGAAGTTAGGAATCAAAACAGACAGAGCTGCCAGAGCCCCATCTCCTGCAAAACCATTTTATAGACCCCCGTTGTGGCCGTCAGCAAACCCTCTGTATGGCAACAGGGAGAAGATTTTGAGGAGCTCTGCCTCCATTTGTACCCGATGAGCCGGGGGGAGAACAGCTCCGCGGGAGCCTCCATCTCAAAAGGGAAAGCAAAGCACGGCCCAACCAGCACCGATACAAGAGCGTAATATCTCAATTCCTCGGTTTGCCGGAGTTTTTATCCATCTTTCCCGGCGCTGCCGTTGTCTCACAAGCAGAATTTGTGCGATAAGCCCATAAATACCCAGAGCCCAGATATCATTTATCGTGTGTCTGTGCAGAGATGGGCACGGGGGGTCACTCCACAAAGCTGCGCACCTGGTTTCAGTCGCATTGTGTATTTATACGGTTCAAAACGTTCGTTCTGTCTGCTTTGCCACATCCTTCTAACTCGAACAGGTTAGTTTTTATCTCTTCTTAACTGCAGCTGGTCAGTTCTTTTCTCACTTCAATTTAAAAACACAGTGCTCCTTAAATTTACCCCGCATGCTCGGTGAGTGGGGGTCTGAATTCAGGAGGGTTGTCCCGACAGTTGGAGGTGTAATTTTTAATATTGTAATTATATTAAAATGAGGACAGATCACTTTCGGACGGTGCTAATCTTAAGTTGGCTGACTACCCCAAAGATACTGATTATTTTCTAGGATGTTCCTGTCTTCAAGGATAAATCTAACAAACCTTAGGTGATTAAAAAGTTTTTCTCGAAAGTCCCAAGGACAGTCTTCCTAATAGTTATGTTAGCTTCTGACTTAATTTGCAGCGCTGGGAGACCTCATGGTGCCAGGAGAAAAGCCATCCTCCCTCCACAGCACAGCTGGGTGGTGGTAACGTCACAAAACTCCTCTTTTTCTAAACCAGAGCTGATGTGGGGCTTAGGACAGATTCCTCCCCCTCGGAGCTGCCTCAGCTGCGTTTTGAGGACGGGCAGGAGGGCTCGTGGCTCCCACCCTGGGGTAGCTGAGGGCAGAGTCCGAGGAGCTGCCCCACAGCTGCTGGCTGCTCTGCTCCCCGGCGACGGACTCGGCAGCAACCAGCCACAGCGAGCCCGGCTGCCACCTTGTGTCGTACCAAACCCAGCGAGGTCTCCTCAGCTGCTCCCTCCCACACAGAAGGGGGGAAGCTCAATGCCCTCCTCCAAGGTGAGTCCACTCCTGCCTCTGATTCCAGCCTCACCACGCAGAGAAGCGTTCAGAGATTAGGGACAGAACCAAATCCAGTTTAGCTCTTCCAGTCAAACCGCTCCGCTCACACCCTCCCAAAAGGCTGCAAGAGGTGACTCAGCCCCTTGTCCCCGCTCATCCCACAGTCAACAGCTCTACCAGCCTCAGAACAGATGACTGGACTTGCCCCGTTCCCAAAAACACTCACCAGCATCACTGAGACAAACCCAGCTACGCTCCCAGGCTGGGACACGGCCCATCACAACCCCCCGACAAGCGAACCCTGCAAACTCCGAGCGGGGAGGCTGGGCTTTGCGGGGTGCCCTCCCTTGCACCCCAGCTCAGCACCGCCCTGCCCGCGCGTCCTGGGGGAACAGGAAAAACAAGGTGACTCCCTCGCTGCCTGGGGAGCGCCCAGCCAGCACTTTTGGGCAGCAAACCACACAAAGGGTGCTGAAGAGTCCCCCTGCACCCCGCAGCAGGACCAGCCTGCACGAGCTGGGCTCACCCAGGGCTGCCCCAGGCCAGGGGCTCCCCCAAGTCAGGGGCTCCAAGGCCCCTGTTGTAGTTTTACACAACACCACTCACTCACCCTCATCCCTCTCGGGGATGGAGGGGGAGAATTAAAGGGGTGAAGGGAAAAGAGACTCGTGGGGTGAGGTAAGAACAATTTAATAACTAAACTATGATAATATTGGAAGTAATAATAATAGTCATACATACAAACACACAAATGAGTGACACACAGTGACACTGCTCACCTCCCCATGACCAAGGCTCAGCCCTTTCCTGGCCAACAATCCCGGAGCAGGAAGAGTCCTGACACCACGATCCCAGAACAGAGATACGAGCCTGAGTGTCTGAGACGACCCTGAGAGAGGGGCAGCCCAGAGGGAGATGACCCACAGGAAGAGAGAACGCTCCCGGAGAGATCCTCATCTCTCCCCTGGCCACACCAGGCATGGGAT